GGGGGGGGGGGTAACACACCCCTGCACCCCCACAAAATCCGTCTATGTTTCCTATGATTTTCCAACGATTTTGGTGTAACCATAATTCATCATCAAAATGCTTGCGCCATGGTCCTAGCCAGTGCGCGTTTGAGAGGTATTCACCTCAAACGCCTCTCAAATGCACACTGGCTTAAGGACCATGTCTTTATTCTGTGGCCTGGCTTTTCTTACTATTGATGGGCTAATTAATGTATTAATTATATATCTTCTGTAATCAGTGGCAAATAATGCAATTTCATTGGTTACAGCCAATGAAAAACATTCTATGACTCTAGTATTTACAACTAGCCAATCAGCATTCAGGATATAAAACATGAATTTTGTTTTCTTTACAGAAGATATATACGAATGAAGTCATTTTATTAATGTAAAAGTCATACGTGTGATTAACAAATCACTTATATGATTTTGGCATTAATAGAACTCCTATTCGTTCTATTACCATTATTAATTTCCAATTTTATTAATTAAGGAAAGAATGAATTTATTTATGAATGGGAGACTTACTTTTTTGGACTTCATTCCAGACTCCTTGACATGCTTGACATGCTTATGGGGAATTTGCTGACTTACTATACCCTTGCAAAATTTGAGATAATTTATGGAAGACACCAAAATTCTTTCAATAAGTGTGATGTAGTTATTTCTTTGCATTATGTGTTCAATAACTGAAGGAGTAACTTTGGAGTTACCCAGGTTCTTCAAATCACAAATTGCTGTGTTGTCTTGGAGATGATTACCAGAAACTCTGTTTGATACTCTGTTATGATTCACCCAGTGGATGTCCCTATTCTGATTAATTTCTGTCATTGTACGTACTTTCTGAAACATGTCATAGTTGTCTGTTACATATTTACAACCAGCAGAAAGATGCTCTTTAGTAGAATGAAGATGAGCATCTGGAGTTTGAGGAATATCAACTTGACATGAAGTCAAAGCAAGAGATACATAATTGTCTGGAGGAGTTGCTGTATTATGAGCTGGAAAAAAATAATTCAGTTTGGTTTGTTGCCACTTGCAATTATTGTATAGGTGTGTTGAACTAGCTATCCGGGATATCATTTGTTCTGTCACAGCAAGCTGGGTAGTTTATTGTATATAATACAAATGTTAAAGGTAACAGCATGTAGTACAACAATCTTAATTAACAAACTGAACTAAATGATAACTAAGCCCACCAAAAACATGTGACCATTATGAGAAACCGATTTGAAAACTCAGAAAGAAATAAATGTACAATCAGTACCTTTCTCTGTTGATGTTGTCTTATCAGAATCAGCACCTTTTTGTTCCAAAATTGACATTAAGCTCTCATCAGAAGCCTTCTCGTGAACAAGATTTTCATTGAAAATACTGCCAAATTCATCACTTTTTTTGTTATAGTAAGAAGTAGATACACCAATCCTCATTGTTGAGAAAAGTCCACACAATGTCTAAAAACAATAAAGATGTAATCTTAAACATACATTAGAGTGGAAGTAATTTGAGCCTTTGGAAACAACTGCTAATTTGATGCTCCTAAACTTTGTGTGAGGTTGGGAGCATCAAAGTAACGGCAATTTCAAGTAATTGTCTGATATCTACAGCCAGGGTTGCCCAGAGCTTTTTTCGGGGCACAGGCCCTGTCCACATCTACACTTGGAATAAACAGAACAATACATTTGGGGCTTGTAATGAAAAACTTGAAAGAGGTAGGAACCAGGTTGGAAATACATTTATTTAATTAATGTTATAATTTTGAATTTAGCAATCAGAACCTTGCCGAGTTGTTTATGTAGAGAAAATTGGTCTGTTAGTTAACATGTATGATATGATTCAATTATACACTGCCAAGACCTGACATATCTTTCTTTTATAGTTCTGACACAACTATTATGGACTGTTCATAAGTAAATACTTACCAACTGTCCACAGAATATTTACTAACATGTATTAACGGAATATTTACTATCTAACAGAATATTTACTAACAAGTATGTAGCTCTTGGCTATCAGGTTATATGCATGTTGTTAAACATACTAAACATACCTGAAATCCGGAGAACTTTATTATTGTCATGATCAAAAGCTGAACACTGTTGACCATTCGACATCTTTGTTTTAAAAGAACAGCTGCAGCTATAGCAACACTTGGCAACCATTCAGTGGCATCATATTTCTTTCTATTAGGAGTGGCAGTAGTCATCGTGACTGAATACAATAGTGGAGCACGCTCCTTCATTTCATGGCATATATTGGCTAGTGACAGCATACGAATATCACTCACAGTAGTTTTTCTCAGTAAGGATGGCCTTTTAGATGAAATAATATCACAGCATTCTACTGACAGTTGCTTCAACATGCATTTGATGAGCTCTGATCTAATCTCTTTAACACGGTATACAGCTGACGCAATTTCCTTCCATGTCCCTCCAAGGAGGGCACGGCCTAAGGGTTCCAGTTCAGGTTGAATTGTACGTTCTTTGGTCTGAGAAGGCCATTTCACTGTAAGCTATAAAGTATGAGTGTATATTTTTCTGAGGGAGGACCTTTATATTATAAATAATAAATACATAATCACATATTTATATGTGTCACTATTGTGGTAAAAATATAATGTTAAAATGTGCTGAATTCCGCACGAACATACCTTTACGCCAGTTTCGCATTCGGAAAAAGATTTTTTGATTTTCGAAACTTTTACAGGTGGAACAACTTTGACTGGAGTACTGTGTGCTTTGGGTTGTAATGTGTGAATAGGTATGCACGCTTCCTCATTGTCGTTGAGTGCGATAAACTTGGATGGAGACGCAAGATCTGTTTCACTTGATCTCTTGGCGGAAAAATGTCCTTGGATCTTGTTCTCAACTTCTGTTAAATTTGATAAAATTTTGTCTCTTTTCTCAAGAAGTTTTAGACAGGTCCTGCACAAGAAATTTATATCCCCACTGGCAATGTTCCTAAAACGAGTTGTTAGTGTACACTTCCAATTGTTCGGTAGGTTGTTGAATAGCTTCGAGGCATTGTTTAACACCGAGTCCTTTCCATTGATGATAAACCTATTTCTAGGTGCTGAATTATTTAAACATAATATGCAAATGTATTCTATTTGGATATCCATTTACATATCTGGCCATCTTGAATTTCAAAATCGATTTGCATGTGTTGGCATAATTTATATCAAATTATAGAATAAACCAATCATAACGCGCGACCAAAATCCGGTCGCGCCAACGTCATCAGTATGGAATGTTGTCACTCGAATCGCAGACTCTTCTTTGTGCGACGTTATATTAATAGGAGCAGCAAAGTAGAGGCTGTTTTCGCAGGCTAACATTTTTCCAGCCATGTTTTGTAAAAATAAAAGATAATATTTAATTATGTTCTCTACCTTTTGAAACCTATATAAATCAAGCACACTTTACTATGACCCACCCCCAAACTGTTGTTAAATTTTCAATGACCCACCCCCTTTTAGATGTTCAATAACTGCAAAGAAGAAAGGTGGTCAAACTGTGAAAGAAGAGATAATCGTCCAAAGAATGAGCTCAAATGTAAGCGGAAAAGCACAGAATCAGCCGAGAATTTGTCCCATTCGAAAAGTATGATGGTGAGTTAACACTGTGAAATATTATGGATCTTGCAAAACGCACTTTGCAAAGGGCGTAGACAAGGACATGATATGTGATGTTCTGGCTGGGGAACAGGGCCCTTCTTGCCGTAAAGTTGAGCATATTCCAGATGCATGTAATTATCCGAAATAGCAGAGAAAAGCTCTTGATCGGATTGATGCATAAGTTGCATCAGCTCGAATCGGGTGTGGAATAACCTTTGTGAAAATCGGAGAGGAAAACATAAAATGCCATGTAAAGTTCAGCATATTCCAGTCATCCATGTGTGATTTGTAAAATTCTGTGATCTTGTCATGGATGAAGCACAAGAAGAAAGCACATTCAATGATACAAACAAAGTTTATTTAGACAGAATAAATGGGCTATATTCCATTTAATATCTGTAACCCCCCCCCCCACACACACAAAACACACACACACACCAAGGATACATGATTTATAGTTTTCCCCCCCAGAGGAATTCCAATCTCAAAACCCTTTACCGTGAAGAATTCCAACCTCAAATACGTTTACAAGATGAAAACTGAATGATGAAATCTGAATGATGAAATTTGTGCTTGTTGGAAATAGATTGTGGAACACTCTGTAAATTGTTGCTTAGATTGGTCACCAAAACAATATTAATAAAAGAAATTTAGCACATAGAGAAAAAGAAAAAAAATCTTGGAACAAGGTTGATGTTTTAAACAGTCTAACTCTGAATTTTCCCAGAGGACCCCTGAAGAATTCAAAATCAGTTTTTAACAAGGGCATCAATCCATCCTCAAAAGTGGGAGGGGGGGGGGGGACTCCAAATTAGGAAGATCCTAAATTATTATTTTAATTACTTTTAATGCTGCTGATTGTATATTTTCAGCCTATGTAAACTCCAAGCTGAATGCATAATTTCCTCTTCTTGTATAACAACTGTGCCAGAGCCTGATTGGGAAGGGCATCACCGGCGTCCTTCTACAGATGGTAAGGAATGGATTCCAAGCAAATGGACTGATGATTCTACTACTTCACCTTACAAAGAACATGATAGTAAGACAAGTGATGTTCTAGAAATGTACAACAGCACATTCAGTAGATTAGCCACAAATACAGGATTAGGTGAAATAACACCTTTAGAAAGTAGGCTTAACACTAAATGGGAAAAAGCCACAAAAAAACTTGCATTGATAGGCCAACTGAAGCATGTCAAGCAGTTTGTGAAGTCATTGCACCTGAAGATGGAGAAAAATTATTTGAGACTGTAAGGAGTCCAAGCGAAGATATAAGCAAGGAGTTGCATTTGCTCATGATTACACATTGAGATTAACTGGTCGGCATATTCTTGTGTCTGTCACAATTCCGTTTTTAAGTCTCAGAACAATACAACATTTGAAGACAGTCCTTCCACTAAACGTCTAAAGCCAGAAACTGCGTCTGAGACTCCTGAGAGGCGATAGCGATCCAGGCACATATCGCCATGTACTTGTTTTTAATGTTGTTATGACACTGACACTGCTGGAAAATGAATTGACAGAGTTAAGAGCAGAAGCCCAGAAGTTAAAGTGCCTATATCACTTGTGGGATCTTTACGAATTTGAAAAGAGTGCAAAAAGTTATTTAACAAGTTCTTCAACCTCTTTTGATTTAGTTCAATAGTTCCTGAGATATAGGCCCTCAAAAATGGCAATTTTGACATTTTTGGGGAAAAATCTGTCGTACTTAATGGCTTGGTGGCCTGGGACTCAGGAGCGTGAGTGTAAACAAACACCAACAACCTGCCAAATTAAACCAGACTAAACCAAATTAAACCAGACAAATTGGGCGTATGCTTAGACTGTGAGAAAGCCATTCCAGTAAGAACCAATCATGTGTTGAGAACTCTGAATCTTTTATGTTTGGGAAACCTTTTCCAAGCCCAGCCAATAGAAATCATTCTATCGGAAAGGTTTCCTGATTCTGTCCAATGAGATAGCTGTATTAAACTATAGCCTCGGGCAAAATATTTCAAGTATGACATTTGATATTTAAATCTGTCAAGTCATTTCCGATTCATTAAGATTTAAGCTTGATATAGTCACAGAAGGGTCTCATCAATCAATATACTTGTCAACTTACACTTTACATTATAATTATCCTGTTGATCATGTTATGAGCTGAAAGTTTGACTCTCAACAATGAATTATTAACATAGGAACATCGCAATTTCATAATAGGACGTGTTAATTCCCCAATTTGACTGATATCTTTTATTATATTTAATTATAGTCTTGTATAGATAACTGTAGGATAAAAGGATGTATATAAATATAGCCTGTCACCCGCAACTACATGCCCTCCTTACAGTCGGTTCAAAAGTAATCCAAGCCATAAATTTGTTGTTTGAATATTGTCTTAAACATGGTTTAATATAATGATGCCCACAAGAGATATATAAGAGCTTTATTCGTCCAGGGAATGTTTTGCATACCACGGCTGTGTTTCAACATGCCGTATCATATTTCGAATCCCCGCAAGTAATGTTAACCCACAGTTTATAGTCTTAGTCTATAAACTGTGGTTAACCACACTTTAATACTGGGATAATATAGTTATTATGTAGACGCACCATGGTTAGCATAGCCTTGTAGTATTTAATTTGTAGTAAAACCGGCTGAACTAAATTAATGAATGTATTACGTATGGCACTATATAGCTATACGCAATATATTCAATAATCACAGTAACATGTCTTCGACATTCGCGCCATCTTATTTATGGCGGGAAACAAAACACCTTTACCAAATCATGTTAGTTATTGCTTTGTGAAGTGCTAAATCTTAAATATGTGTAATAGGGAAAAAGTAAACGATGTACCTGTACGAAATTCCACCAGTCTCAATGCGAGTCGAGGAGTATTTTACATTTCCAATTCCTCATATCAGAACATGTTCCTGCCAAGGTCTGCCAATACTGCGCATTATCTTGCGGTACGCATCGTGATGCGTCAGTATCGCCTTATAACGTCGTTACTATTGTATCAACATTTTCTCACTGTCTGTCTCAGCATTGAAACTGCCGGTTATATAACATATGATGTACATTTTCATTATAAAGTACTCATTGATGCAACGCATCATAGTTGCAACGCATCCGAAAGTTGAAATCAGAAAAACAGCATCTATACTATAGTTATATTAGCTTGAAGACGCTTTGCCATTTGCTTATTTTGGGAAAGTTTTCTTTCACATTTCAACGTATTGGTTCATTTTGGAAAGGTTTTCTTTAATGCGTTGTTTTATTCGCCGGTTTCGGGAATGTTTTCTTTAAGACGTTACTCTATTGGTCAAGCTTGGAAATGCTTTCATGAAATAGAAATTGACCAGATCTATATGCCGTTGATGATTTTACCAATTGGACCAATTTAATCATGCAATACTTGAAGCTGCGCATCATTTCATGAAACAAATGTGGTCTATTTGGACATTTTGGAATGCCAGCGTATAAAGCTCTGACATGCGTCCAGACGATGAGAGAGACTTTGTGTTGGGGCGCTAGGGATACAGCGCGAAGGAAATTCTAGTGAAACTAGTCAGTTATTATCATATCATACGTCAATACAAAACAGTCCAGTTGATATAATGATAGTGACTCGGTGTCTGATTAAAATATTTACTGTATGTCTTATGCATTTTTTGTTATATATTAATATTTTTATTATATACATGATCCATGTATTGGTATATACAAAATGTATGGTGAATATATATGTACAATTTTACACAAAGTTATTTACACGTATTTTGCGTTTCTCTTAATCTCTCCGTAGTTTGGCCAACTATGGCCGCTTGTGAGAAAAATTGTGCAAACATCACGTATATATTTAATACTAGAGCCAAAGCATTCGATCCGGCGTAAGATCAATACTAATATCAGTGAAATTTAGTCTAATAATTCATGGACGCTTGTCCGCGCTGACAATTCCGCGTCATTCACACCGCCCCATTCATTTCAGTGCTTATCAGATTAAATGTTCCTCGCTCGTGGCTCGTGGGTCCACACGCTTCGAAGTTGTCAACTTGTCCGGCAAGTCTATATATTCATGAAAAAAACCATTCATGTTGTCAACATAAAGTTGACTCAAGCGCAATTTGAAGCGCACAAGATATTCTCACGATGCATCCATCATTCAGCATTGAGTAGTGTTTTGGCTCGTTACGCCGAGATTACTTTTCTCTATTTCATGATCTGTCACAGAATTCATAATACCAATACAAAACATTCATGGTTATGCATCACTTTATAGCAGGTAGAAAG